AAAAAAAAAAAAAAAAAAAAAGTCCAGTGGGATTTTCCGTGGCAGTTTGATTTGGGAAGAAGTGATATCTTGACAGTTTTTAATTTCCCTACCCAGGATTGATGTGGTTGTGTTGGAGTGGGGTGTGGTGTGCCTTTTTTTTTTTCTTTTCTGAGACAGGGTCTTGGCTATGCAGTTTAGGCCGGTCTCAAACTCACTATGTGGCCCAGGCTGGCCTTGAACTCACAGCGATCCTTCTGCCTTAGCCGCCTGAGTTCTGGGATTACAGGGATGCATCACCATGCCTGGCCACATTTCTAATTTGATTTAGTCTTAGGAGCTCTAAAATTCGTTGTGCCTTGTTACAAATTCCTCATGACTTGTTACGAATTCGATCTTCAGAAACACCACTCTAACCATCACTGGTATAGAATGCTTGTATTGCTCCTATCATTAATCTGCTTGAACTCTGATGAGTTCTAAATTCTTAAGTTGATTTTCTTGGGTTTCCATATAGTCAAATCATATCCTACTATTGGCATTCTTTGTCTTGTCCTTTATCTCATCCTTTATACTCTTTCTTTTTCTGGTGACTCATAGAGACCAGGACCTCCAATCTAATGTTGAATGACACACCTTCGATTGTTCCTGTGACTGGGATTAGTTCCATTATGAAATAGGATTTTTGGGAGGGTAATGGTACTGGGGAGGGAATCTAGGGCCTTCATAGTAAGCAACATCCCAATCCTTTTTATTTTTCATTTTGAGTCAGGATCTTGCTACTACTAAGTTACTCAGGTTGAGATCAAACTTGTGATCATCCTGCCTCAGCCTCCCAGAGTGCTGTAATTACAAAGCATAAGCCATCATGCCCAGCTTGAAATGGTATTCTTGCTTTAGGTTTCTGATAGATAACCTCCCTGAGCTGAAGACTCATTCTATTCCTAGTTTACTAAGGTTTTTTTTTTTCCTTCTTTATTAAACAGTGGTATATTTTTATATCATTTGAGATAATGAAATGATTTTGTTTTATTACTGAATTCAATTACATTAATAGATTTCCTAATTTTGAACTAACCTTGCATTCTGATACAAACTCTTGCCTTTTTGGGGGGTGGGGGTACCAGGATCAAACTTAGGTCCTTGTGCTTGTAAGGCAGGCGGCAGCACTGTTGAGCTAAATCCTCAGCCCATACGCTGCCTAATTTTGCAATATATTATTTATTTATTTAGGATACTTATATCCCTGGGTCAGTTTTGTTTTTGTTTTCACCCAGTGAGCTCTTCATCAGGTGCGGTGGCACATACCTGTGATCCCAACACTGAGCAGGCTGAGACAGGATTATTGCAATTTCAAGGGCAGCCTGGAATTCATAAGACCTTGTCTAAATAAGCTTCTAGTTCTGTTTTGATAACATTATGCTAGCCTTGTAGAATGAGTTTGGTGACATTTAATCTTCAGGCTGTTTACAGGACAGAAGTTTGTTTCTTCAGAATTTGATAGGCCTCATTCTTAAAAACGTGTAGCTGGGCTAGTGGTTCTGGCACCTGCCTCACAAACACAAGGACCTGAGTTCAATCCCAGGTACCAAAAAAAGAAAAAAAAAAATCTGTAGCTAAGTGTGGTGGCACAGGCCTATCATTCAAGCTCTTTGGGAGGCTGAAGCAGGAGGATCCCAAGTTCAAGCCCAGCCTGGGCAATGTAGTAACTTAATCACTGTCAAAAATATTTTTAAAATAAAGGAACCAGGAGCTTGGTGTGGTGACACACACTTGTAAACCCAGCACTTGGGATGCTGCAGGAGGATCACCATGAATTTGAGGCCAACCTGGTTTACAGTTCAAGCTCAGCCTGAACTACATAACACGACCCTGTCTCAAATTAAAAATAGGGCTGGTGATTTAGCTCAGTGGTTCTGCCACCTGCCTTGCAAGCACAAGGACCCAAGTTCAATCCCTGGTACCAAAAAAAAAAAAAAAGAAAAAGAAATTAAAAATAAAGGGACTGGGTATTTAGTTCAGTGCAAAGGCCCTGGGTTCATTTTCCATTATTGGGGTGGTCTGCATTTGGTGCCTTTTTTTAGAAGGATAAATGTTTGCCTTTTACTCCTGTGGCACTCTATTTACTGAAGTTCTCTATCTTGTTTGGCTTTTTTTTTTGAACAGGATCTCATATGTAGTCCAGGCTGGACGTGGCAGCTTAGGGGGCGGTTAGAACCAATAAACATATGCCTTGAGTTCTGTGTATTTTTTTCTCTTTGGCTAGCTTTGCAAGAGCTCTGCCTTCTGTGTTGGCTTTTCCATCCTGTTTGTATTTACCTGCTGATTTCCAGCATTTTGAGTTCTTTATGTAGTTAATTTGTTAATATATTTAGGCTTGTACGTTATCCCACAAGTACTCCTTTAGCTGTTTTCTGTTTTGTGGTGTGTGTGTGTGTTTGGCATTGTATATGTAACCTTGATCTAATATTTTTCTCCAGCTCACTCAGTGATTCTGTCATCTACCTAATAGCCTCTCCCTACCCCTGGAGACCCCTACCCTCCTCCCAGTGCTGGGATTGAGTCCAGGGCCTTGTACCTG